TTTTTTTTGGAGGAGCGGGGGGTGGGCACTTATTCGAGGTCGGGTGCTTAAAAAGTACTTTTTGGGGATGGGGTGGTGGGGGTTGGGCGGCACTTATTTGAGGCTGGGTGCTTATTAACTTTTTCTAACTTCAGCGTGGGTGCTTATTTGAGGTTGGGCGCTTAATCGAATAAATACAGTATTTGTATTGTAATATGGACACCAATGGGACAGGCACAAGACAGTGTCTTTGCTACAGAGGAAGAGTGTAACATTTGAATTCAAGTTTCACTGGGACTAAGTGAACTAATAGAGGGGCCCACATTTTAGAGGTGTCATTAAGGAGAGGTTTGACTGTATTATTGTTTGATTGTTGGTTAATTGGTTGATTGGTTGGCTTATGACAAAAGTCTATTATCACTTTCAGAATGTAAACATGTATTAGTAGTGGACAGGTGTATTTTTCAAAACTAAACTTAGCACTGAGGGAGGGCTCGGCTTGAAATGTCTGCTATAAACATCATTTTTAATTTGGCACTGAGTTATTGCTATTTACAACTTTTGAGGTGTATTTTTCAGGCCAGCAAAGATCAAGAATACTCGCAAACCTGTTCAAAGATGAGCGCTGTCAACAGTTGCCAGCCTATGGGATTTTAGAGAAAATGTAAGCATAGCTTATTGCAGCTAAGTTGAATATCATCCTGCACTGACACAACTTATGAATGTAAAATATGACATATTCTTATGTGATCAATGTGCCCTTTTGTTTCTTCAAGGTATTTGGACAGGATAATTCGTGGCCCAGAGCTTCATGAATTTGCCGCTATGTTGATGCCACATCAAAAGGCAACTACTGCAGATGGTTAGCCATACTCTTCTTTGATAGAGCTCCACTAGTAGCTCATTGAATTTCAGCATGCTAAATGTTAATTTGTTCTCTCTGTTTAAGGTTCCAGTATCCTTGACAGGGCAGTGATTGAGCATAATTTACTCTCTGCCAGTAAGCTCTACAACAACATCACCTTTGAAGAGCTTGGAGCTTTGTTAGAGATACCACCTCCCAAGGTAGGCATTTTTTGTTTGTCATTTTGTGCTTCAACATGGAGGATTAATGTTGTAGTCATCTATGAATACACCCAATTAGGAGTTGAGTGTGTTAACCTCAGCTAAGGGGGTAAAACCCCACAAGGTACAGAGAGAGTCTTTGACCTTTCTTGGTACTTTAGCCCGTAGTCAGAAGTTATTAAATGATCATGGAATACAAGTGTACAGCTTGCGAACCTGCACAAGTCCACATCATTTCCATGCGTCCACCTGAGCTCTGTTGGTAGAGCAGGGCTTCCTGAATCCAGTTTTGAGGAAAATCTTCAAGAGTTTTTTTTTCCTGTAAGATTCTTGTTTTGCTGGCAATGCAGTAATTATCGAGAACTAAGTCTTTGGTTGTTAATTAGTGCCCTGCTAAGCACAGATGCCATGTGATGTTGTCTCTTTTAGGCAGAGAGGATTGCATCACAGATGATTTCTGAGGGACGTATGTCTGGTTCGATAGATCAGATTGATGGAGTTGTACATTTTGAAAGTAAGAAAAAAGTTTTCAACAAGAATTTCATTTGGTGATATTAATTAGACAGAGAAAACACCTTCGCTGTACTTAAGTTGAGCAAATGACCCTAAGCAAGAAATTGTTTTTCAAAGTCAGGGCATGCACTATGTTTTTCATTTTTTTTTTTGGTGGAAGAATGCTTTTTTCCATTATTTTGTAATTGTCACACTCCCCCTTCTCCCCCTCCCTCCATCCGCTAAAAATGGTCATTGCTTCTGTGTCATGCGACGTAAATCCGAAGGTTTCAAAAGTTTGATTCACGAAGATGCAGTTTTGTACGGAAGAAAAGGTATGACGTAAAATGATATACTAAAGCTACGAAAATAACGGTTGCCTAAGTTGCTCAAGTCAAATCACAAAAGGAGAATGAATAACAAAAAAAAAAAAATGTCAATGCGAAAAAGCGGGGAAGTGAACTATGAGATGTAGTCGCCAATAATCTGTGACTAGTGTCACTGGATAATAAGCGAAACAGAACGGGGGAAAATGCCTTTATTTCATACCGTAAGACTCTGCACGCTGTTTGCAAACACCTTCCCTTTGATCTTTCGAGGAAAACACTGCTCTCTCTTCATTGATAGTAAAATTACTATCTTATCTCTTTGTGACTGACGACTGATTGTAGGTACTAGAAACAAACTAGTCACCCTACCTTTGTCGTTATATCGTGAAAAGTAACGTAGCTCACAGAAAAGTAATATTTGCAGTAGTGCTCACTTTCGATTTTGTCTTTTAGCTCAAGAGGTGCTTCCCTCGTGGGACAGGCAAGTCCAAAACCTGTGTTTCCAAGTCAACAATGTGATTGAAAAGATCAACAGCCACGCACCAGAGTGGGCAGCTAAGTACACCGAATCACAAATGACATCTTGAAGAACATCCAGGGTAATTGAGACTGTAAATAAAGCATAAGAAGCGTTCATTAATTGGTGGACCAAACCTGAACAATGCACGTGAACCGGATATCAGTAATGTTCTCCCCATTCCTCCACGTCCACCCTGTGAAGAAGATTTAACTGGTAACGAGGAGGTTTATGTAATTGTGCGGAGAAAACGGACACATCTTGAAATTCTTTAATAAACGTTCTGCTATGATGAAAAATTCTTACTGCTGTAAAGTGCAGTGGTGTTAATCTTTGGATGGAACTTTTTTCCCCATCATGCAGCGGTCTGGTGAGCCTTGTGCTTTTGGATATGATCCAGTGGCTCTCTTCTGTAATGAAGCAGCCATATTGACTCTCGGCTTTTCTGTCTCCACTTTCCGCCGTGCAACGTTATTGGCTTCTATTTCATTACAGAGATTCCCGGATTCCCAGTGGCGCAACTGTTAAAATATCTTTGAAACGTTAATGAAATAAAATGTGAATTTTGTGTTTGTTGAGATTTTTAGTTCGTCTAGTTTGATCGTCCTGGTGAGCAAAATCCAGAAAACAACCATTTTAGTGAGAGTTTGAGCATACATCACTTGCAAAAAATTTCGGGAGCTTAATTTTCGGACACTTTTGGTGCTTACCATTAGCAAAAAAAATACGGAAACCTCGGTTGAAAGTGAAATGGAACAGCAATTTTCTGGAAAATCCGTTCGGAAATTGTAGACTACCTCCAGAGGTAGCGCTTTTTCTTTTCGGAACGGAACGGCGGAAATTTCCTTACCATTTGGTAGAATCCCCGGTTTCCAGTCTCTCGTCAACAGAAAATAACGGGAAATCAAATTGCAAATGGTAAGCGCCATCTTGTTCGGTTGGTCTCCTGATTTTGGAAAAACCCTTTCCATTATTCAACGGTCATCCCAACAGGTTTATTCCGACAAATGGTAAGCACCCTTTATCTCGCTTCGGACAAATTTCGAACAAAAATTTCGGACACTTTTCTTAAACATAGCTAAAGTAAATTTACGCCAGCAAAACACGGATTAGACTGAAACAACATCTGTGACAAAGATAGTTTTACTGCACCCTCAAGGCTTTACGGATACACCGACGAGAAAATAACACATATTCTGTAAAGCCAGTACGTACCTCAAGCAGTGACTCAACTAGAGTTCGCTCCCTAAAGGAAACTTTTTTTTATACTGTACTGTAGATATTTCGGGCGCTTAAAATTTCGGACGCTTAAAAATTTCGGACACTTTTTTTTTTGTCCGAAATTAAAATCGTCCAAAATTGTTTGCAAGTAATGAAATAAGTTTCTTGTCGTTTGGTTAGTTTCACCATGACGTCATTGCATTGGCTGTTGTCATGGGTGCAAAGTTCGTTCCA